ATCACTTTTTTCATGCACACAAACATTTTTTAAATATAATTTTTCATTCCCTGGAGGAAATTCCGAATTTTTTTTTTTTTTTTTTTTTTTCTTTTTTTTGTAAAAATAGTATATAGAGTTTTTCTCCTTTTTGTGTAAAAATTATAAAAATTTTACATTTCTTTTATATATTCAACATTTCAAACCGCATCAACCTACTTTTTACATATCCCTATCCCCCTCTTAAAACCATTTTAATTCAAATAGATAATTTCTTTTATCGCATTGACATCTGCCAAGAACTTTTATTCATTAGGTCTCTAATGGTGATTAAATAAGAAATAAAAAAAAAGCATAATATAGTTTTCTGATAATCATTCTGTTGTATTATTTAATGGTTTGTCTCGCCCAATGAAGTCCTAATCGAGTTATGGGCGTTCGCTTTTGGACAATCATAAAAATTATTGAGATGTACTTATTATTCCTTCATATAGAAACGTGCATTGGTTCAATAATAAAAGATTTATTTTTCTTTAAAATGTGATACTTATTTCACATCGTTGAATTAAAATTTTGGAAAAAATTTTTTCAGTTCCACGAAACCTTTTTTGATTACACCAAACGCGTCATCGTGTATTATGTAATTTAATTGATTCACCCATTGTCTCATTCCAAAATCACAAAGATTTAAAATGAAATAACAGAGTTATTACGGTTTTTTAACAATGAGCAAGGAACGCGATTTTAGAACCGGTTTTTTTTTTAAATTATAAATTTCTAATTTAGATACGATTCAGTCTTTATATTAAAGATTTCGTTGGCTTGAACTATAGATTGAACCTATCAAATATTATTACTGTTTTGGGTAATTTGTGACTTGTTCTACGACCTTGCATTGCGCTTATGTTTATGATAAAAGAAAGAAAAAACTAGTTTGAATATGTTGTGCACTTGTTTCAAGTTGGCATAATAACCTTTTTCGTAAACTAACTTCCCTTATACTAAAACGATAAAAAAAAAACTTTGCAAAATGAGATCATTCAAGAGAAGAATTAAGATAAATAAAAATTTGATTATGATATGTTTTCCGGGATTCCAAATCATTATATGAAGGGTTAAAAGGATTTGAAGTTCCAAACGCTATTGAGAGAAGCTTTTGCCAATTCGAATCCTATCAACAAATCCCTCGTTTCCTAAAATGAGAAATTGAAAATCCGATTTATTTACTTTTGAAAACATAACAAACCCTGAGGGGGTTTTTGAATTTACATTGACTAGATTAATTTGTTGACAGGATGAAATATTCAACTTTTTTTGGTGGTTAAAATTCAATTATCGTAGTGTAAAACTTAAAAATAAAATTCCCGAATACAAAATTATTAGATTATTTTATGGTTAAATTAATCTTTTAAAAGGTTAGTACATGAAAAATAGATTTAGAAATTCATAGATTTTGTCCAAAAAAAAAAAATTTATTATTGTATCGAACGTTTGCGAAAAATCTATAAATATGGTTTCTTTATTAACCCAAATTTTTTTTTTCCCCAACGTCGCTTTCGTCGTCTCTAAAAATAATATAAAATAAAATTTAACGAATTATTATCTCGAAATAATTTCGAAATTTTTCTTTCGTTACGTTAAAAAAAAGGATAATTAATATATAAATTTATTATATATTAATATATATATATATTTAATAGATATATAAATACATACAATGATGGTTAAATTCTCTTTCTTGGCTGTTGTTTTAACCGCTTTCCTTGCTTCAAATGTCAACGGTGAAAATTACACCGTTCAAGTTGGCGTTGATGATACGCTTGCCTTCGCTCCAGACAGATTTGATGCAAATGTTGGAGATAACGTAAGCATATTATAAAAAAAAAAAAAATTATTTTTGTTAATTGGAAACATTCATTTAATTGTTTTTTATTACGCTTTATAACAGATTGTGTTTCATTGGGTTTCGGCAAAAGCAAAACATACTGTAATTGAATCCGATCGAGAGGCCACGTGCAATAAATCCACTAAACCGCTTGCTTTCGCTTCAGTAGCTTACACAGGTAACCCAGAAGCTCCTCCAAAAGCCGTGTGGAAATTAGATACGGCCGGTCCATTATACTATTTTTGCAATATTGGAACACATTGTACTGCGGCAAATATGTACGCTATGATTAACGTTCTTGAAGTGGGACAAACGCCGCAAGTACCTGGATTTACTAAACTTCCAGAACCCAAATCAACATCAACTTCCGCGTCTCCATCCAAGAAAACCAAAGCTGCGGGCGCAGATGAATCGTCAAGCGCTAATGATGGCAAACGAGTATCATTTGCTGTCGTATGTGGCGCCTTGATATCTTTAGCTGTAAATTTAATATAATAATTATCGTATGATTCATATTATTTAAAAAGTTATTATCTCGCAAGAGATTTTATATCACTTACATATATTCCTTTTTTTTTTTTTACATATTTTATTTTAATTCGTGTTACTTATGTTTCATGTGATGATATCTTTCTTTTTGTTTGGTGTAAAAATATAATAACGATTGAAGCGCTTCGATTGTAATAATCAAAAAAGTTTTTAGTTTTAATAAAAATTTAATGTGAAAGTATTTACAGCGGAGAAAGCGGAGAAACTTTTTCTCCTTTTCAAGATTTTATTCCATTCAACGTATATATATATATATATTGTTCCTTTCAAAGGAATTTTGGCATGATGATATATTTAGAATACTATGATTTATGATTTTTTTTTTTTTGAAAAATCCACACTTGGCAAAATTTAAATCACTTGGCTCACGTATTTAATAAGTAAACGATCGACAAATACGGAAATTTCCAAAGTATTACAACTATTGTATAATACAATAAAAATGTCAATATTTTTTTTTTTATAAATACAACTTTCTTCATTCCCTGGAATTATTTTTTTTTTTTTTTTTTTCTCTCTCATCCTTCTCTGATAAATAATAATAATAATAATAATAAAAAAAAACAAAAAAAAAAAAAAAACCTAATTTTCTACTCTTATATAAAAAATAAAAAATGGTTAAATTCACTTTCTTGTCTGTCGCCTTGGTTTACCTCGCTACAAGTGTCAACGGTGTAACTTATACTGTTGAGGTTGGTAAAGGAGGTGCTAATGTTTACTCACCAGACAACTTTGATGCAAATGTGGGAGATACTGTAAGTGTTCTTATCCTATTGTTAAAAATTATTTTAAGATGTAATCGTTTATTTATAATGTATCTATAAATATCTATATTTGAAAAGGTCGTCTTCAGATTTGTTGACGGCACACACGATGTCATACAATCAGATGAAGCAAATTCATGCGCTAAATCCGCAAGACAAGATGCTTTCACTACGGAAGTCATGACAGGTTCTAAAAATGCTTCCCCGGAAGCCATATGGAGTTTGGATACTGTTGGGCCAAGATACTACTTTTGTAATTTTGCAACGCATTGTTCTGTTGGTAAAATGTACGGTACGATCAATGTCCTTGAAGAGGGAAAAACACCAAAAGCACCCGGAGTAATACAACCTGACCCTCCCGTAAAACAACCTGGTACTCCAGCTGATGATTCCCCGAATGTACCAAAATCCTCATCTACTAACCCATCCACTCCAACTGATACAGGAAAATCCGCTCCAAAATCTGCTGCTAGCGTTAATAAACCAATCCCAGTTGCTATCGTTGGTAGCGCCATGATGTCTTTGGCCGGTTATGTTCTTGTAAACTTATAATAATCATAAGCAAACTTACTTACCTTTAGTAAAATCAAAAATAATAATCATTTTTACGTTTCTCTAGTACTTTCGTTCATTTTTTTCTTTTTTTCTTTAAAAGATAATTTTAGTAAACTTCATAAAATCTTTGTAATACTTTTTTTTTCCTAATAAATCTGGTGGGAAATCTAAATTATAAATAACTTATGTGTACAAAGAATTTTCCATGATAAATATAAAAATAGCAAATAAAAAGTTTTCTAATTTTAAATGATCCGTTCAGAATAATCTCTTATTCGGTAAATAAAAATAAACAATGAATTTCTTTATTTTCCCGTAACGAATTAGGCAAAATTACCTCACATTGTGACTTGGAATAAGGTTTGCCCATTTGTCTTGAACCATGAAATGTCTCGATTAAAATTCTGATCACCAATGCAAATTTTCACATGATAACTTGAGCAAAGCATTATTTCTTTTTGCCTTATTGATTGTCCTTGTGGCTGAAAGTTGTCTTTAGACAGGTATCTCGGTATTTTACGTTCCCAAAATCAGCTTCCAACTTCCAAAAGAAAACTGATATCTTTTGCATTAATAACATCTGGAAAGGCGCACTATGAAAAACTCTGTCCAATCACGTGAAATCGCAAACCATTAAAATTTCATTCTAGATGAATTTCAAATTTTTATTCAACTTTAATAATTACTAATTTAGTTAATTCTTAATGTTAGAGGTCGGAACCGGTTATCGATATCGGATTTATAACCGGTTTTTATCGTATCGGATTAAAACCGGTTCAGAATTTTGTAAAATCGATAACCGATTATATTTATAATCGATAACCGGTTTTTATCGGTTTATAGTACAGATGACGGTAAATTCTGTCATTATTATGCATTATTGTAAATATTTATATTAATTTATTATAGATACTATAAAAGTAAACCCGCAGATAAAAAAAAAAATTTTAAAAAAAATGTCTAATTCTAGTAATCCCGTAGGGTTTATTAGTAGCTTAAGTACTAAATGCCTCATTCAAGATTGATTTATTTTTCCGATGTTGATCAATCTATATTTCAAGGATAATCTCGATCGTTATTTCAATAAAAAAATGTTATCTTTATCAGTTTCAGATACTGATAATGATACTAATACTATCCGTTCTACTGGTTCCGTTTCTACTTCTGCACAATTAAATAATAAACGAAAAAAAACGAAACTCTAATGTGGCGGTCAACCGAAATAATAAAAGTCATACTTCTTTTCCGAAGAGACGAAAATAACTCCGAATTAGTATATTGTAAAATATGTGAGCTTAATTATTCGGGAACTAATAAAAAACCCTATGCATATACCCAGAAGGCGGGAATACAACAAGTATGATAAACCAACCATTTACGAGATAGTCATAATATAACTAAGGAAAATTATACTCAACACTTGGATGAACATAGCGAGGTACAATTATTTCTATTATTAAATTTTAAGAATCTAACTTATACTAATAGCTGCTAATTTATTTATTAGCCGGAATTTGATCATAACAAAATTATCAATTATTATAATAATGCAGCAATAGCACCACCATGTTCAATTAAAAGACAAGACTTTTTAGCGAGAAAATTAATACAATTTATTGTTCATTTAATCTTGCCCCTTTATATTTTGAAGAATAAGTTTTTTTGTGATTTTATTTTCATGTGTGAGCCGGGATTTTGCATTCCATGTGTTAAAACTGCTAATGGGCTAATACATAAAGCATATAATTGGAACTATGATCAACTTAGCTCATTACTTCAAAGTAGCGTAACAAGCATTCATTTGACTACTGATTTATGGACTGCAAAGTTCTGACATGGTTGTTTAGGTGTTATAGCTTCCTGGTTATCTTCTGATTTTAAGTTTTGAGAAGCTTTTCTTTCTTGCAACCATCTTTCATATCCACATATTGGGGAAGTAATTAGTGAAGAATTATTTAAAATAATTTCTGAATGGCATCTTCAACAATGATTTTTACCATTTCTATAGATAACAGTTCTAATCTGGTAAAAGGAATAAGATTATTAAATAGTAATTATATTAGCGGTATAGAATGTCAACTTTGTGCAGTGCATACTTTACAATTATCAGTCCAAGAGGGACTGAAACAATGTAAAGCTATTCATTGTCATGTCAAAAGTTTGCAAACCTTTTTTCAGCTTCCTAAGCAGGCTTAACGTTTATGCGAAAATGCAAAATAATTAAGTTGAAGGAGATTTTATTCAAAGTCCTTTCAACCTTTTAATAGATGTCAAGACACAATAGAATTCTACTTATCTGGCTTGAAAGCGCGTTCTAGAATTGCATAATTTAATGAGATTTGTTTTAACTTCGCTTTTTTCAGAAACAGATCATGCTTCTCAAAAAGAAGGTGAAAAACTAGAATGGCTTTGCTTATCAGTTGCAGAAAAAGAGTAATACATATTTTTTTATTTAAATTTATTATCAATTGTCTTATTTTATTTTTTAATATACAAAAAAAATAAATTTTATATTTTAAATACAATTCAAATTTTTAATTCTTATTATTTATTTATTTGTAAGTTTATACAAAATGTAATAAAGCTATTGGAACTGATTGAAATTGTGACTCAGCATTTGTGTAATGTAAACTATCCTACTTTTAATCTTATTCATCCTTTTATAAAATCTCTTAAAAACAATTTACTTTAAGATCAGATAAAGAAAAAACTATCGAATCTTATCTAAATCTTATCTATAGAGAAAATTATGAAAAAAGTGGTAATGAAATAACTGATAATGACATATCTGTTACTGATACTCAACAACAATAGCAATATGCATATTGACAATTTTATCAAAAAATGAAATCTGCGGCCAAAGAAAACAAATTCAAATGGGACTAGTTAGAAAATGAACAAAAATCGAAAGCATTGAGGATATAAATCAAATTAAATATTTATCATCAGTTGATACTATTGGATTGATTGAAAAAGTTCAAGCTGCAATTTATCTTTCATTAGATGAATTATATTCTGTTCTGATTGATAATACTTTAATCATCACATTTCTTGATCTAAGATTTAAACATTTTAATTGGATGACTCTAGATAAACGTGATAAAGTATTTTAATTAGTAAAAATAAAATATGATGCATTAAAATCAAGTCTTCATATTCCAGATGACATAGAACTAATAGAAGATAAGGATCAGAATGATGATGACAATGATTTTTTCACGATCTTAAAGGTAATTGCATACAAATGATAATTACAAAGTATCACGCTATAAAAATATAAAGAATATTAAAGTTAAAGACAATCTTTTAACCTGGTGGGTAAATCATAAGGATAGTTTTCCTATTTTAATGTAATTTACAAGGAATATCTTTCGATCCCTGCCACTTCAGTGCTAAACGAACAATTATTTTCTGATGCCAGAAATCATATTTTTGCAAAATGAATGTACTTATTACCTGATCTAGTAAATAAGGTATTATTTTTAAAATGTAATAATACACATTTTGAAATGTTTCCGTCTCAAGAAATTTAATAATTAACACTTGTCATAATAATTAGTATTTAATAATTAATTCTTTTAATTTTTAAATTTTAATTTTAAATATAATAGAATTACTTATTAATTAAACATTTATATAATAAATAATAATTATATTAATTGAACAATTAAATTTTAAATTAATTATTTGTTGATTTAATCTACATTTTTATTATTATTTTTTTTATTCATTATCTTATTATGTTACAAAAAAGTAATGATAAGCTGAAAAATATATCAAAAATCGGTTTATCAGTTTTTCGTTTTATCATTTATCAGTTTTAACCAGTTTATCGATTTATCGATTCAAATTGATATATAATCAGTTCCAATTTTCATAACATGAATAAAACTAGTTTCTAAAATTAAAACCAGTTTCAACCTCTACCTAGACCTCAACTTCACTATAAGGCTATAGTGAAGATTTTAAGAGATTGATTGGCCAATTCGCTATAACAAGAGTATTTTTATTATATTTGTTCAAAAAATTCGTTATATCAGGAGTTCGCTATATCAAGAGTTGACTGTATCCTTCAGCTATAACTTTTTTTCTTGAAGTATCAATCCATCAATTGATAATTGCTGCTTTTCTAAAGGCAGCTAGCTATTCCACTAAATCTTCTACTTTAGTATTATAAAAGTAATCAACTTTCAATGTAGTTCGTTTTGTTTATCCTAATGCATTTAATTGAACTCCATCTACTCCAAAGATTCTTTTAAGAACTTGTTTTATTTGTTCACCTGTAGCTACTATCATTATTTCTGAAGGTGAAGTATTAATTGGAGTTGTTGATAGACTTGTTGCAAATGTTATTGGAAAGGCAATTAATTCTTAGAGTAATTATCAGTCTTCTTAAATTTGGATTAAGTCTTGAGTTTGAATTTCTATATATCCTTTTAATGAATTAGATAAATCAACAGATTATTGAAAACAATTTGTTTCAAAAGATACATCTTAGACATACAAATATATTATATCTGATGAGAAAGATATAGTCTTATATTAAAGGTTAGAGAATAACTAATAAATTATTTTTATCAATTGGCTATTACAATATTCTGATACTAAAGTATTGCTTAATTACTTAAATAGATTAAAGGTTATAACTGATCTTGTTATATAAGTTTCAGCTTAATATTCATAATGAAACTAATTCCAAAAATTTTGAAAATCAATTGAAAATGTATCAAATAGAAGGGTAGATAATACTTATTATAAGCATAGTTTTTATTAAGAAAGGAATTAGAATAATGTCTAACAATATATTTAACTGTATTTCTCTCAATTGCTTCAAAATTTATATACCTCATTTTCCTTTAGCAGTTTATTATGTATGAAATTAATTTTGTTTTTCAAATCTTAATCTCAAATTTTTATATACTTTGCTAAATCTGTTAGTAGTCTATTATGTATAAAGTTAATAGTAACCTGATAAAAATTATCACTTGTTAACGTTA